TTTTAAGTGGGAGAACCTGCACAATTGGTGGCTGACTAAATACTTTTTCCCCCCACTGTATGTACGGTCACTGTGGGAACGACGTCATCGATGCACTTATTGATGAAGCCAGTGACTGATTAGTGTACTCCTCAATGCCATCGGAAAAATCCCGGAACATATTCCAGTCTATGCTAGCAAAACAGTCCTGTAGCTTAGCCTCTGCATCATCTGACCACATCCTTATTAACCGAGTCACTGGTGCTTCCTGCTTTAGTTTATGCTTGTAAGCAGGAGGATAGAATTATGGTCAGATTTGCTAAATGGAGGGCGAGGGAGAGCTTTGTATGCATCTCTGTGTGTGGCGTAAAGGTGGTCTAGAGTTCTTTTTCCTCTGGTTGCACATTTAACATGCTGGTAGAAATTAGGTAGAACGGATTTAAGTTTCCCTGCATTAAAGTCCCCGGACACTAGGAGCGCTGCCTCTGTTTGCTTATGGCCTTATACAGCTCATTGAGTGCAATCTTAGTGCCAGCATCGGTTTGTGGTGGTAAATAGTAAGCTATGAAAAATATAGAAGAAAACTCTTGGTAAATAGTGTGGTCTACAGCTTATCATGAGATACTCTACCTCAGGAGAGCAAAACCTTGAGACTTCCTTAGTATTAGATTTCGTGCACCAGCTGTTGTTTACAAATATACACAGACCGCCACCCCTTGTCTTACCGGAGTCAGCCATTCTATCCTGCCAATGTAGCATATATCCCGCCAGCTGTATGTTATCCATGTCGTCGTTCAGCCACGACTCTGTGAAACATAAGATATAGTTTTTAATGTCCCGTTGGTAGGATATCCTTGATCTTAGGTCGTCCATTTTGTTTTCCAATGATTGTACATTGGCTAATAGTACTGATGGAAGAGGCAGATTACTCGCTCACCGTCGGATCCTTACAAGGCACCCCAACCTATGTCCACGATATCTCCGTCTCTTTCTCATGCGAATGACTGAGATTTGGGCCTTGTCGGGTGTCCGTAGAATATCCTTTGCGTCCGACTCGTTGAAGAAAAAATCTTCGTCCAATACGAGTTGAGTAATCGTTGTCCTGATATCCAGAAGCTCTTTTTGGTCATATGAGACGGTGGCAGAAACATTATCTACAGAATACATTACAAATAACCCCAAAAAACACATCATAGCACAATTGGTTACGGGCCGTAAAACGGTAACCATCTCCTCTGGCCCCATCCTGACTAGACTCCCAGTCCATGCCGCTGAAAAACATCCCCACAGTATGATGCTGCCACCACCATGCTTCACCGTAGGGATGGTGCCAGGTTTCCTCCAGACGTGACGCTTGGCATTCAGGCCAAAGAGTTCAATCTTGGTTTCATCAGACCAGAGAATCTTGTTTCTCATGGTCAGAGTCCTTTAGGTGCCTTTTTGCAAACTCCAAGTGGGCTGTCATGTGCCTTTTACTGAGGAATGGCTTCCGTCTGGCCACTACCATAAAATACCTGATTGGTGGAGTGCTGCAGAGATAGTTGTCCTTCTGGAAGGTTCTCCCATCTCTACAGAGGAACTCTGGAGCTCTGTCAGAGTGACCATTGGGTTCTTGGTCACCTCCCTGACCAAGGCCCTTCTCCCCCGTTTGCTCATTTTGGCCGGGCGGCCAGCTCTAGTTGCCCAGCAAAATAGACCAATTGAAGTTTTGTACTCTGAGTAATTCCAACTGCATTTATTTGTATTTTATTAAAACTGTATATCTTTACATATAGCCTACACAATAGCTTTCAACATACCAATATTGGTGTAAACTTTCCAAATAAATGCTGGTATAAATAATACAATTTTAAGAATAAGTCAAATTATCCATTTATTTTTAAAAAGATGATTGCAATGCTGTGAAAAAACTGTTGTACTGCAATAGAGTTTAGCATGTCTTTGTACGGGGACCCTTATTATGAAATCACGCTGCCAGCATAATATCCTGCTGCCAGGAGAACGGTAATGGAGGAGTGCGTGTGTGTGTGGCAATGCACCAAGTATGGGTAACTGCATACTTGGAGTGTTCAAAAGTGGGCGTTGCAAAAGAAGTGGATGGATCAACAGCTATGGGTGTAACATCAGCGCTCCATTATTGGTTAGACCGGCCATAGCCAGGTGCACCTCTGGTCAGCTTAATGTTTACATAACAGGTTAAGAGAACTAACGTAGCAGGTTAGGATCATTAACGTAGCAGGTTAGGAGCATGAGGTCAAGGTTAGGAAAAGGCTTAGGTAAAATTAGTAGCAGGTTAGGAATATGAATGTGGCAAGTTAGGAGAATGAGGTTAAGGTTAGGAAAAGGCTTAGGGTTAGGTTTAGCTTAAATGCCTAGCAGGTTAGGAATATTAACATGGCGGGTTAGGCAAATGGGTTAAGGTTAGGAAAAGCTAAAATGCTACAGTTGTCAGACTCATTGTGCAGTCCAATCTGCCACGCAAAACGGTCGAGTGGCAACAAATTAGCTGATTCGCTTTCCATACACCCACTTGCTGACACGCCCACTTTCAGACACTCCATGTATGCAGTTACCCATGACTCCAACACACTGCGGTTTGGCACGCAGCACGTTGGCAGTGCTTGCTGGGACTTGTAGTGCAGCACGCCGCTGAACTTGCACCTACATGACAACTGCATTAACTTTACAAAAACCCTGTGATCAAAAGGTCATGAAGTTGACTGCAAATTTCTGCAGCTGCTCTTCAACAACTTCATCTTGAAGTCATCACCTGCATTGTGGGAGGCTCTATTGTCAACCAATCATTAGGGTGTTTTTGTTTAACCCACAAGAACTTGACCAAAGACGTGACTGAAACAGGAACCAACTTTGCCGCGATTCATGTATACAGTGGATATGTAATATAATATGCCATTTAGCAGACGCTTTTATCCAAAGCGACTTACAGTCATGCGTGCATACATTTTTACGTATGGGTGGTCCCGGGGATCGAACCCACTACCCTGGCGTTACAAGCGCCATGCTCTACCAATTGAGCTACAGAGGACCACAATTGAATGAATTGAATGTGATATTTGAGTCTCTTTCTCACCAATTGATAGTACAATATACACATATAAACTCAGCAAAAGAAACGTCCTCTCACTGTCATCTGCGTTTATTTTCAGCAAACTTAACATGTGTATGACAACTGAGACAAACTGAACAAATTCCACAGACATGTTCTTGCTGTGAGATGTTACCCCACTCTTCCACCAAGGCCCCTGCAAGTTCCCGGACATTTCTGGTGGGACTGGCCCTAGCCCTCACCCTCCGATCCAACAGGTCTCATACATGCTCAATGGGATTAAGATCCGGGCTCTTCGCTGGCCATGGCAGAACACTGACATTCCTGTCTTGCAGGAAATCACGCACAGAACGAGCAGTATGGCTGGTGGCATTGTCATGCTGGAGGGTCATGTCAGGATGAGCCTGCCGGAAGGGTACCACATGAGGGAGGAGGATGTCTTCCCTGTAACTCACAGCGTTGAGATTGCCTGCAATGACAACAAGCTCAGTCCGATGATGCTGTGACACACCGCCCCAGACCATGACGGACCCTCCACCTCGATCCCGCTCCAGAGTACAGGCCTCGGTGTAACACTCATTCCTTCGACGATAAACGCGAATCCGACCATCACCCCTGGTGAGACAAAACTGCGACTCGTCAGTGAAGAGCACTTTTTGCCAGTCCTGTCTGGTCCAGCGACGGTGGGTTTGTGCCCATAGGCGACGTTGTTGCCGGTGATGACCTGCCTTACAACAGGCCTACAAGCCCTCAGTCCAGCCTCTCTCAGCCTATTGCGGACAGTCTGAGCACTGACGGAGGGATTGTGCATTCCTGGTGTAACTCGGGCAGTTGTTGTTGCCATCCTGTACCTGTCCCGCAGGTGTGATGTTCGGATGTACCGATCCTGTGCAGGTGTTGTTACACGTGGTCTGCCACTGTGAGGACGATCAGCTGTCTGTCCTGTCTCCCTGTAGCACCGTCTTAGGCGTCTCACAGTACGGACATTGCAATTTATTGCCCTGGCCACATCTGCAGTCCTCATGCCGCCTTGCAGCATGCCTAAGGCACGTTCACGCAGATGAGCAGGGACCCTGGGCATCTTTCTTTTGGTGTTTTTCAGAGTCTGTAGAAAGGTCTCTTTAGTGTCCTAAGTTTTCATAACTGTGACCTTAATTGCCTACCGTCTGTAAGCTGTTACTGTCTTAACGACCGTTCCACAGTTGCATGTTCATTAATTGTTTATGGTTCATTGAACAAGCATGGGAAACAATGTTTAAACCCTTTACAATGAAGATCTGTGAAGTTATTTGGATTTTTACAAATTATCTTTGAAAGACAGGGTCCTGAAAAAGGGACGTTTCTTTTTTTGCTGAGTTTATGTGCAGTTTGTGAGTGTGTGATACGGGGGTTGGAGACATGTTTTTTCTTCGATATTACAAAGAAAAATGTTAATAAACAATTGCAACACTGCCATATGGCACTGAGCCTGGATGTTGGAAAACCACATCCGTGTCAGACTTTCGGCTGTCGCAGATGCACCTCCCCCGACTTCACTCCTCGACGTTCGTCTACAGTCGGTTGCTTTCGCCTTACTACTCAAATGAGCCCATTGCGTGTCCTAGAGGGTGTGGCGGTTTTACGAGTTCATACGCTATACAAAGAGCTGTCACCACCAATAAAGACGAGTTTAGTTGATGACAAATGAGTCACACCATTCTTTGTTATTGGAGGACTACTTTTCACTTGAGTATAGACCAATTTTAATACAGCAAAATAAGTACACTTTTTTTACTACCTCAGGTGTCGGTTTAAAGGTGTGCTGTATTGAAATGCTAGGACATAAACTATGGTTGAAACTGAAAACTGAAAGGGTATGGCTGAAATCCATGGCACAGGTGTGGCCATATATGACATGCCAAAGCAGCAGGTCGTCTTTAAACCTTCCCTCTCCGCTGGCTGGGCCGTCTCACCTGGTGTAGTGAAACTCTAGAGCCAAATCGTTCCAGTGCTTGTCGTCGGGCGGTACCACAGACTTCAGAGCGCAGGGGTAGCGTCCCCCCCAGCTTTCACACAGATAGACCACTCCATACTGACCCCGCCCCAGCTCTCGGCCAAGCTTGGGCTTGCCTGCCAGAAAGACGAAGAAACATACAGAGATTTGTTTTATTGTGATTGGCATGCGTTCTAGGACTTTTCAGCATGTGAGAGAGGAGAGCCCTGGCAGAGTGTATGCTGTTAGTGCCAGAACCCAGTAGAAAGAGCAGGTTGTGTGTGTATGTATATTTACAGTGCATTCGAAAAGTATCCAGACCCCTTGACTTTTTCCACATTTTGTTACGTCACAGCCTTGTTCTAAAATTGAGATTTTATATATTTTTAATCAATCTACACAAAATAACCCATAATGCCAAAGCAAAAACAGGTTTTTAGAATTTTTTGGAAATGTATATAAAAAAAATGTATTTACATAAGTATTCAGACCCTTTGTAATGACACTTGAAATTGAGCTCAGGTGCATCCTGTTTCCATTGATCATCCTTGAGATGTTTCTACAACTTGATTGAAGTCCACCTGTGGTAAATTCAATTGATTGGACATGATTTGGAAAGGAACACACCTGTCTATATAAGGTCCCACAGTTGACAGTGCATGTCAGAGCAAACACAAGCCATGATGTCGAAGGAATTGTCCGTAGAGCTCCAAGACAGGATTGTGTCGAGGCACAGATCTGAGGAAGGGTACCAAAACATTTCTGCAGCATTGAAGGTCCCCAAGAACACAGTGGCCTCCATCATTCTTAAATGGAAGAAGTTTGGAACCACCAAGACTCTTCGTAATGCTGGCTGCCTGGCCAAACTGAGCAATCAGGGGAGAAGGGCCTTGGTCAGGGAGGTGACCAAGAACCCGATGGTCACTCTTACAGAGCTCCAGAGTTCCTTTGTGGAGATTGGAGAACCTTCCAGAAGGACAACCATCTCTGCAGCACTCCACAAATCTGGCCTTTATGGTAGTGGCCAGACGGAAGTCACTCCTCAGTAAAGGCACATGCCAGCACACTTGGAGTTTGCCAAAAGGCACCTAAAGGACTCTCAGACCATGAGAAACAAGATTCTCTGGTCTGATGAAACCAATATTGTTTCTCTTTGGCCTGAATGCCAAGCGTCACGTCTGGAGGAAACCTGGCACCATCCCTAAGGTGAAGCACGGTGGTGGCAGCATCATGCTGTGGGGATGTTTTTCAACGGCAGGGAGACTAGTCAGGATCGAGGCAAAGATGAAAGGAGCAAAGTACAGAGAAATCCTTTATGAAAACCTGCTAACGACCACTCATGACCTCAGACTGGGGCGAAGGTTCACCTGCCAACGACCCTAAGCAAACAGCCAAAACAACGCAGGAGTGGCTTCGGGACAAGTCTCTGAATGTCCTTGAGTGGCCCAGCCAGAGCCCGGACTTGAACACGATCGAACATCACTGGAGAGACCTGAAAATAGCTGTGCAGCGACGCTCCCCATCCAGCCTGACAGATCTTGATAGGATCTGCAGAGAAGAAATGGGAGAAACTCCCCAAATACAGGTGTGCCAAGCTTGTAGCGTCATACCCAAGAAGACTCAAGGCTGCAATCGCTGCAAAAGGTTATTTATCAAAGTACTGAGTAAAGGGTCTGAATACTTATGTACATTTCAGTTATTATTATTTTTAATACATTTGCAAACATTTCTAAAAATCTGTTTTTCCTTTTCAATATGGTTATTGTGTGTAGATTGAGGGGGGGAACACAATTTAATCAATTTTAGAAAAAGGCTGTAATGTAACTAAATGTGGAAAAAGTCGATGGGTCTGAATACATTCCGAATGTATTTGGACACACCTACTCATTCCAGGGTTATTCTTTATTTTTACCATTTTCTACATTGTAGAATAATAGTGAAGACATAAACTATGAAATAACACATCTGGAATCATGTAGTAACTAAAAAAGTGTTAAACAAATCAAAATATATATTTGAGATTTGAGATTCTTCAAAGTAGCCACCCTTTGCCTTGACAGCTTTGCACACTCTTGGCATTCTCTCAACCAGCTTCACCTGGAATGCTTTTCCAACAGTCTTGAAGGAGTTCCCACATATGCTGAGCACTTGTTGGCTGCATTTTCTTCACTCTGCGGTCCAACTCATCCCAAACCATCTCAACTGGGTTAAGGTCGGGTGATTGTGGAGGCCAGGTTATCTGATGCAGCACTTCATCACTCTCCTTCTTGGTCAAATAGCCCTTACACAGCCTGAAGGTGTGTTGGGTCATTGTCCTGCTGAAAAACTAATGATAGTCCCACTAAGCGCAAACCAGATGGGATGGCGTATCGCTGCAGAATGTGGTGGTAGCCATGCTGGTTAAGTGTGCCTTGAATTCTAAATAAATCACAGACAGTGTAACCAGCAAAGCACCCCCACACCTCCTCTTCCATACTTCACGGTGGGAACCACACATGCGGAGATCTTCTGTTTACCTACTCTGCGTCTCACAAAGACACAGCAGTTGGAACCAACAATCTCAAATTTGGACTCCTCGGACCAAAGGACAGATTTCCACCGGTCTAATGTCCATTGCTCGTGTTTCTTGGCCCAAGCAAGTCTCTTCTTGATCCTTTAGTAGTGATTTATTTGCAGCAATTCGACCATGAAGGCCTGATTCACACAGTCTTGAGATGTGTCTGTTACTTGAACTCTGTGAAGCATTTATTTGGGCTGCAATTTCTGAGGCTGGTAACTAATGAACTTATCCTCTGCAGCAGAGGTAACTCTGGGTCTTCCTTTCCTGTCGTAGTCCTCATAAGAGCCAGTTTCATCATAGCGCTTGATGGTTTTTGCAACTGCACATTTTCCGGATTGACTGACCTTCATGTCTTAAAGTAATGATGGACTGTCATTTCTCTTTGCTAATATGAGCTGTTCTTGCCATAATATGGACTTGGTCTTTTACCAAATAGGGCTATCTTCTGTATACCACCCCTACCTTGTCACAACACAACTGATTGGCTCAAAAGCATTAAGAAGGAAAGAAATTCCACAAGTTAACTTATAACAAGGCACACCTGTTAATTGAAATCCATTCCAGGTGACTACCTCAGGAAGCTGGTTGAGAGAATGCCAAGAGTGTGCAAAGCTGTCATCAAGGCAAAGGGTGGCTACTTTGAAGAATCTCAAATATAAAATATATATTTTGATTTGTTTAACACTTTTTTGGTTACTACATGATTCCAGATGTGTTATTTCATAGTTTATGTCTTCACTATTATTCTACAATGTAGAAAGTAGTCAAAATAAAGAAACACCCTGGAATGAGTAGGTGTCCAAACTTCTGACTGGTACTGTATATACACACACTGAGTGTACAAAACATTAGGAACACCTTACTAGTATTGACTTACATTTTAGTCATTTAGCAGACGCTCTTATCCAGAGCGACTTACAGTTAAGTGAGTGCATACATTTTCATACTGGCCCCCCGTGGGAAACGAACCCACAACCCTGGCGTTACAAGCGCCATGCTCTACCAACTGAGCTACAGGGGACCGACTTGCACCCCCTTTTGCTCTTCGGGGAATGGACTATAAGGTGTCGAAAGCTTTTTTCCACAGTTGTGTCAAGTTGGCTGGATGTCCTTTGGGTGGTGAACCATTCTTGATACACACGGGAAACTATTGAGTGTGAAAACCCAGCAGCGTTGCAGTTGTTGACACTCAAACCGATGCGCCAGGCACCTACTACCATACCCCGTTCAAAAGGCACAATTATTTTGTCTTCCCATTCACCCTCTGAATGGCACATGTACACAATCCATGTCTCAATTGACTCAAGGCTTTAAAATGATTATTTAACCTGTCTCCTCCCCTTCATCTACACTGATTGAAGTGGATTTAACAGGTGACATCAATAAGGGATCATAACTTTCACCTGGATTCACCTTGTCAGTCTGTCATGGAAAGAGCAGGTGTTCCTAATGTTTTGTACACTGTGTGTGCGCGCGTCAGGGTTTCCGTTTCTTGGCTGATCAAAAAATTGTCCGGGAGAAAAAAGAAAAAAAATCCCATTACAAAATATATAGTTTTTGCCTATTCATGGTTGGAAATACTAGTCAATGTAAATACATTTAACTGCCGGTCAGGCTTATCGTCTATAGGTTAATTTGCATAATTTGGTGCCATTAAATTGCCGTGTGTGTATTTTTATTAGTTGTAATGCATCTTATTTATCACACGCGCACAGCATACAGAGCCTATATTTGAGTGGAACATTGTTGGAGCGCGAGAGCTGCTGCTACAGCTCCTCACACTGCTGGAGTGAAACGTGCTTTTATAGGCATCATTGCACAAAAATTCTAAATGCAACCGTTTGTTAAGAAAAGTTAATGGTCACGATTAAAATTAGCTACCATTTTTATTTCTCAACTGGTAATTGAAGCACGCTTCCCATTCGCCCTTCAAGTGCATAGGCAATGTTAAGCAGGCTTCAGTTCATCACATCACTTTGCATTTTGAAACCATACTTAAATTGTTTGAAACCTGAACATTTTACTTCATATTATGAGGCATGTCTTACCTTGCTTCAAAGTAGCCTAGCCAAAATTAGTTTATAAAGACGTCCATATGCCATTGAATCCAGTTGCCTCATGTTCTATTGGTTTTCAAAATCAACTTTCTGTCATTGTCCAGTAGCCAAATGTCAAACCTAGTCATATTAGCAACCCACACCAGTTGTTGCATCTTTAGATCTACATTTTTAACGTATTTTCATCTCTGTCACATGAAACCGCTGGCATGTGCAGTGTGCTTTTTCAGTGTTTTTCCACTAATTGCATTATGGAACGAACACGTAGGCTACTGCCTTGTGCGCATTGCTGCACTTATGTGAATAAATAATAGTTTATCAATTTGGGATCTATCATCCAACAACTGTCCCAGAGTCTGTTTGGAATAGGCCATTTCTTTCTTGCACAGAACAACAAGCTGACCAATAGAATAGGTCAACTTTTCTACCATAGGGGATTGTAGATTGACATAGGCTAGTGATTTTGCTGTTCGTTACTCGTCTTGTTGGCTGAGGAAAAGTAAACGTGGACAGTTATTCTAACATCTTCAAAGTGCGCATTGGAATTCGGTAAGAAGGAAGCACACTGTTGCATCTTCGAGTTGCATGTTCTGTTAAGATGAATTACCATAATCTAAATATGATTTCTGTAATTCTGAGCACCGTGGTGGAAGCCCTAATCAGGTTACACACCCTTGGTCCGGTAAAATGTATATTGTCCGGTAAATTAAAATGCTGCCGGTCAAATGTCCGGCGGCACATTTTCTTAACGGAAATCCTGGTGTGTGCATGTGACGCACAACTCATAACCCGCAGTCCCCACGGTTATATCCGCGGGGCGGACAGGTTTAGGGTCATTAAATATTGTGTGGATGAAGGGCGGATTGAATAAAGAGAAAACAATACCTCAAAATACATAAATATATAATTATTGTGCAATTTATAGTGTACATTGAGGTTTTTCTTTCATTATTTTAGGATATCTGGCACTAGTACATAAGGCTAAGCTTTAGGGCCTAACTGTACGCACGCCAAATAGCCTAAACGCCAATCGGCAAATACTTTTGGGAAAAGGTAGAAAAAGTTTGTCAATCCACAAAGGCAAAAAGGTCTGAGCTTAACTCAATATGTGAAAAGCTGCAAAAGGAGAGTTGAACATAAAGAGAAGGGAGGGACAGAAAAGTAATGTTTGGGAAATATTTGGTGAAGTGGTAAAAGAGGATGATAGCAGTGCCGTCTATGTTATGTGTGATGATTGTGAGGCGCTATAGAAATTTGACAGTCACAAGACGTGAACTTCAAATAGGCCTATGGCACATCAAGATAACTGTAGCCTACTGTTCAGATGGGTTAAATGGAAACTGAAATCTGGAGACTGACTGTAGGTCTATAACCGCTCACATAGCCTGCAGAATTAAGCATTTCTTGCAGTAAAATTATACACCAAATGTAGGCAAAATGTTGACTCGGGAACAGGAGTGGAGAAATATGATTTCTTTCTTTCAGCATCTTGACAAAATGTGAATGCTCAGTTAGATACCATCTGTAGAGATGTTATCTTTATCAGCATCATAAAAGCTGATATTATTTCATCCACATAACATATGCATCCAAGCCAAACCTAAATCTTATCCAACATGTTGGGTCGTTTTCACAGCTTTCCATTTCCTTACAACCGGTCAAACTGTTGTAATTTTGAAATTTTGCACAGAAAATCTTTCCCGTTTTTTTTTAGTTATTGCATTTTCTCCCCGGTCCCTAAACGTCTTTGCGCCACAAAAGATGATAACAGAAAACTTTACCGACGACGTCAACTAGACTGAAGCATTCATTCTATGGATTAATGACATTCTGGTGAGCAAGGGTTTATTTAGTCTTCTAGAGCAACATATAATGACAGAAGAGAAGCTGCATGTATCTAATTATAGACAAATTGACTAACAAATAGCCTACCAAAGTGTCGGAAATTATAAGCAGAAACATATCTAAATCAGGCCAAAGAAAATCCTTCACCCCCTGTCAAAAAATCACTCCGACAAAATCACTTTGACTGTAGCCTATATCGTATTTTCTATATTTGCGGGTTTGAGTTGGGTGCTGGCCTCAGATTTTCACATATAGTCGGGCGGTTGTGGATGAGTTATTAGCAATTGCGGGCGGGTGCGTTTGTATGTACAGTGGCTTCGGAAAGTATTCAGACCCCTTGACTTTTTCCACATTTTGTTACGTTACAGCTTTATTCATAAAATGTATTACATCGTTTTTTTTCTTCTCATCAATCTACACACAATACCCCATAATGACAAAGCAAAAACAGGTTTGTAGAAATGTTTGCACATGTATTACAAATATAAAACTGAAATATCACATTTACATAAGTAATCAGACCCTTTACTCAGTACTTTGTTGAAGCACCTTTGGTAGCGATTACAGCATCGAGTCTTCTTGGGTATGACGCTACAAGTTTGGCACACCTGTATTTGGGGAGTTTCTCCCATTCTTCTCTGCAGATCCTCTCAATCTCTGTTAGGTTGGATGGGGAGCGTTGCTGCACAGCTATTTTCAGGTCTCTCCAGAGATGTTGGATCGGGTTCAAGTCCGGGCTCTGGCTGGGCCACTCAAGGACATTCAGAGACTTGTCCAGAAACCACTCCTGCGTTGTCTTGGCTCTGTGCTTAGGGTCGTTGTCCTGTTGGAAGGTGAACCTTCGCCCCAGTCTGAGGTCCTGAGCAGGGTGTCATCAAGGATCTCTCTGTACTTTGCGCCGTTGATCTTTTCCTCGATCCTGACTATTCTCCCAGTCCTTGCTGTTGAAAAACATCCCCACAGCATGATGCCACCACCATGCTTCACCGTAGAGATGGTGCCAGGTTTCCTCCAGACGTGACGCTTGACATTCAGGCCAAAGAGTTCAGTCTTGGTTTCATCAGACCAGAGAACCTTGTTTCATTTGCCTTTTACTGAGGAGTGTTGTCCGTCTGGCCACTCTACCATAAAGGCCTAATTGGTGGAGTGCTGCAGAGATGGTTGTCCTTCTGGAAGTTTCTCCCATCTCCACAGAGTAACTCTAGAGCTCTGTAAGAGTGACCATCTGGTTCTTTGTCAAGGCCCTTCTCCCCCGATTGCTCAGTTTGACCAGGCGGCCAGCTCTAGGAAGAGCCTTGGTGGTTCCAAACTTCTTCCATTTAAGAATGATGGAGGCCACTGTGTTCTTGGGGACCTTCAATGTTGCAGATATTTGTTGGTACCATTCCCCAGATCTGTGCCTCAACACAATCGTGTCTTGGAGCTCTACGGACAATTTCTTCGACCTCACAGCTTGGTTTTTGCTCTGACATGCACTGTCAACTGTGGGACCTTATATAGACAGGTGTGTGCCTTTCCAAATCATGTCCAATCAATTGAATTTACCATAGGTGGTCTCCAATCAAGTTGTAGAAACATCTCAAGGATGATCAATGGAAATAGGATGCAGCTGAGCTCAATTTCGAGTCTCATAGCAAAGGGTCTGAATACTTATGTAAATAAGGTATTGGTTTTTACTTTTTAATACATTAGCAAAAATTCCTAAAAAACGGTTTTTGCTTTGTCATTATGGGGTATTGTGTGTAGATTGCTGAGATTTTTAAAGAAAAATCAATTTTAGAATAAGGTTGTAACATAACAAAATGTGAAAAAAGTAAAGGCGTCTGAATACTTTCCGAAGGCACTGTATGTATGAGCGTGTGTGTATGAGAGAGAGAGAGTATGTGTGTGTGTGTGTGTGTCTCACCATGCAGCAGCACGTCTCGGAGGGAGCGGCTCTCCAGAGACAAGCGGGCCAGCCGTGGGGCGTGGTCCTTCCTCACACGCAGCCACAGGTCCTCAGTACGCTCCAACCGCCCCGTGTGACCCTCCTCCAGCTACACATACACGTCATTGGTTGAAATCTCATCGGAAAATGTACAAAAACACACAGCTTCTCAGAATGCTCCAACAAATGTTTATGACACTCCTCCACATAACATAAGAGCATCATAAAAGAAACACTGAGCGTCTTCATCAATAATGACAATCACATTGTCAGTCATGTGGGGACAACCCTCACAGCAATTGGATCATTGATATCAAAAGACAAAGAAGCTCAAGCTGAAAATCAGACTTGTTGTAACACAAAAGCCATGACTGCTGAGTGGCTTAAGTGAGACATTGCAAGTAAGCAGGTTGAGAGTCCCAATACCTAGGGTGAACAGAACATGGCAAAACTGATTGAAATGTCATCATTGTTACAACAAGAAACTGGTTGAAAGAATGCCATTTTAACATAATTTCAAACCGTTTTTTCTGCTGGGAAAGAAAGAAGTAGCCAAGACAAAACCTCCTTTGGAGGAAAAGTGCAATAGAGAAGAGGGCACCAGATGGAGAACGTGAAGGTGCATAACAAACTACGTTTAGAGTTTGAGACAAAAAGGTTAGCCGAGGCCGGGTTAGTGTACCTGTCGCAGTGAGGCAGCGAAGGCGTCGTGGGAGCTGTTGAGGCGTGTTCTGAACTGGGAGCAGATACTCTTAGCCAGCTTGGCAGCACTCAGGCTCTCTATGGCATCCTGGGCCACATTTCTCTTCCACTCTGGTGTGATGGCAGGAGGGTTCACAAACGTTATCCTCTGGATGATCTTCATAGGGGAGGAGAAAGAGGGGAGAAGGGAGAGAGAGAGCGAGAGGGGGATAAAGTACACTAGCATTTTGCTATTTTGCTAATGACATAAATCAAGGTTGTTGTTATTCCAAAGCACTACAATTTAATCCGATTCCTGATGCTTGACTGGGAATGGTTACTTGTTTGATCTGCTCCCAGACGAGTCTCGTAACAGAGGATCCTGAATGGAAGGTCACCTCCACGTGATAGGCAGCATTAAGGATCTGACCAGGACAGGAAGAGAGATGGAGAGAAAACAGAACAAGATGTTGTTATTACATTTTAAGTTCGAGCAACTGTCTCGTGGGAAAAATGTAATTACATACATTGTCTTTTATGTTGTCTTAGCCAATGTTGTGACTTTACACAGACCTGTTTGAGGTGGTTGGAGGTGACGTTGTGGACGGAGGACTCCATGTTGGACTTCTCCAGGCTGTTTAGACAGCGCTCCATGGTTCCTACGAAGCTCTCTCTCAGGTAGTCCACAGAGCTGATCAGCTTGTTGGCCACCGCCTGGTTTAACCTCACAACTATCAGCTCCTGGATCTGGTGGATGCAAGATTTTATATCCTTCGAAGTAACAGGCTCTCCATTGGTCGCCACTATGATGTCTGAGAAAGAGAGAAAGATACATTGAATGAAAGCGTGAGTGAAAGAATGTAGTTCGAAAGCGTGGTGAAATTTCACAGTGACATATCACCTGCTGCTGACTGCACTGGCTCTCCCTCTCCTCTCCCCCCCCCCACCATGCCAACCATTTGATGAGGACACTTGTGCATTTTGCAACTAATTGTGACTTTGGTTGCATCTACTTATTGTGTCAGCTGTATGTCTGATATTCACGATTCAGGTCCTTTTACTGAGTTACTACACAGGTCACCTCAAGCTTGTGTCTTGTCAACTCAGTGTCATCAATCACCAACTGAAAGTCAGTTTTGGGTCAGTAGTACAGCTATGGTATGCTATTATCTCAGAGACATTTGGCAGCATCAGTCTTTAGTTGATCTTTGACCTTAGGCCTGTGTCAGGCAGTGTACCTGTGAACTCCAGGTTGGCAGCATCCTCCAGCAGCTGTTCCTTCATGCTGTTCAGCGTCTCCACAATCATCTCCTTCATCTCCTCCTGCTTGCGGTTGGCGATGGCCATCAGGGAGGTGAACAGCTCGCCCTCCTTCTCCCGCGTGTACTCTAGCCGCCGCGGCGTGATCTGCAGGTCCCTCTGCATGTCAAAGGCCTGTAGCCAGGGAGAGGAGGAAAAGTCAGTCTCTGCCACCACTATAATTTCTCTCTACTTCCAATTAAACAAGTTTCTGTTACACATTGTGACGCTATATAGATTTAATTTGATTAGCTAATTGATTGATTGATTGTTTACCACACAGAAGTCCCTCTACTGACCTGTTTGATGAAGAGGTCGAGGCAGCGGCAGTGCACCCCGTTGAGCAGGTTAGCAGCCTCCACATGCTGGTATTGGAGCACCTGGCGGGTGAAGGCCACCAGGAGGCGCTGTAGCCTCTCAAAGGCCTCCCCCAGGACGCTCTGGGGCTTGGTGGCCAGGCTGGGCGTCTGGGAGGGAGCTCCGCAGGAACAGTTCCCCACTGGGGTGCTGAGAAAGCCTAGGGACAGCAGCTGCTTGTAAAGGGGGCTCTTCTCCCTCTCCTTCTCCAGGCGCCGGCTGGGCTCGGGGGAGGCATCGGGTGGGGTGGCGGGGATACGGATGAAGAAGATGGGGAAGGGGAGCGTCTCTTTGACTTTACTCAGGTCGGCCACCTGCTCGGCAGTGAGGGCATCCTGGTTGAGGGCGTAGAGCATGATGGGAACCACGTTACGCGTGCAGTCCTCCAGGGCCTCCTCGATGGGCTGGACACTGGGGCACGGCACAACCATGATTTTCGCCTCCTGACAGAGCAGGGAACATACTTCAGTCATTCAAATGGTCCTAGCAGCACTCATCAACACATATAACTGTTGTGGAAAAATCTAAAACACCTATCAACAGGATAATTCTCTGGGATGAGTTTTTTTAATAAAAAATATTCCTAGGTTGAGTAAACATGCAGGGTGCAGGAGAGTACACAATATTTCTCCAATCTCCATTGGCTCCAACATATACTACTACCACCATCTTGTTGATGAGAGTACAACAGTCACATACAGTGGGGAGAACAAGTATTTGATAAACTGCCGATTTTGCAGGTTTTCCTACTTACAAAGCATGTAGAGGTCTGTAATTTGTATCATAGGTACACTTCAACTGTGAGAGACGAAATCTAAAACAAAAATCCAGAAAATCACATTGTATGATTTTTAAGTAATTAATTTGCATTTTATTGCATGACATAAGTATTTGATACATCAGAAAAGCAGAATTTAATATTTGGTACAGAAACCTTTGTTTGCAATTACAGAGATCATACGTTTCTTGTAGGTCTTGACCAGGTTTGCACACACTGCAGCAGGGATTTTGGCCCACTCCTCCATACAGACCTTCTCCAGATCCTTCAGGTTTCGGGGCTGTCGCTGGGCAATACGGACTTTCAGCTCCCTCCAAAGATTTTCTATTGGGTTCAGGTCTGGAGACTGGCTAGGCCACTCCAGGACCTTGAGATGCTTCTTACGGAGCCACTCCTTAGTTGCCCTGGCTGTATGTTTCGGGTCATTGTCATGCTGGAAGACCCAGCTACGACCCATCTTCAATGCTCTTACAGAGGGAAGGAGGTTGTTGGCCAAGATCTCGCGATACATGGCCCCATCCATCCTCCCCTCAATACGGTGCAGTCGTCCTGTCCCCTTTGCAGAAAAGCATCCCCAAAGAATGATGTTTCCACCTCCATGCTTCACGGTTGGGATGGTGTTCTTGGGGTTGTACTCATCCTTCTTCCTCCAAACACGGCGAGTGGAGTTTAGACCAAAAAGCTCTATTTTTGTCTCATCAGACCACATGACCTTCTCCCATTCCTCCTCTGGATCATCCAGATGGTCATTGGCAAACTTCAGACGGGCCTGGACATGCGCTGGCTTGAGCAGGGGGACCTTGCGTGCGCTGCTGGATTTTAATCCATGACGGTGTAGTGTGTTACTAATGGTTTTCTTTGAGACTGTGGTCCCAGCTCTCTTCAGGTTATTGACCAGGTCCTGCCGTGTAGTTCTGGGCTGATCCCTCACCTTCCTCATGATCATTGATGCCCCACAGGGTGAGATCTTGCATGGAGCCCCAGACCGAGGGTGATTGACCGTCATCTTGAACTTCTTCCAAATTCTAATAATTGCGCCAACAGTTGTTGCCTTCTCACCAAGTTGCTTGCCTATTGTCCTGTAGCCCATCCCAGCCTTGTGCAGGTCTAAAATGTTATCCCTTATGTCCTTACACAGCTCTCTGGTCTTGGCCATTGTGGAGAGTTTGGAGTCTGTTTGATTGAGTGTGTGGACAGGTGTCTTTTATACAGGTAACGAGTTCAAACAGGTGCAGTTAATACAGGTAATGAGTGGAGAACAGGAGGGCTTCTTAAAGAAAAACGAACAGGTCTGTGAGAGCCGGAATTCTTACTGGTTGGTAGGTGATCAAATACTTATGTCATGCAATAAAATGCAAATGAATTACTTAAAAATCATACAAATGTGATTTTCTGGATTTTTGTTTTAGATTCCGTCTCTCACAGTTGAAGTGTACCTATGATAAAAATTACAGACCTCTACATGCTTTGTAAGTTGGAAAACCTGAAAAATCGGCAGTGTATCAAATACTTGTTTTCCCCACTGTAACTGTTTTTCTAACTAGGACAAACAAATGATAAAAGTCAGAGATAGAAAACTCAGATGCAGTATGTGCCACCAGTGCCTTCCCCCATAAACACAAACACACACAGAGTCTGGTCATGGGAAAGGGTATGGGAGGGCAACAGAAAACCAAGCAAGAAAACATTTTTGCTCCACTTTTGATTAATTATACAGTCACAGAAATAGAACGAGAGAGCATGAGAGGGAAAGAAATGGAAGGGGGGGGGTGCACAACGTAAAAGAGAGAGAAATGACTGACGCAGCCACACAAAGGAGACAGTTAGTCCTGTCTCCAAGAAACAAGAGCTGTGGTCAACTGAGCAGTCTCTTTGGAACAAAGATAGCCTAGAAACATTTGTTTACAACCAATCAAAATAAATAGAATGTTAGAATTTTCATAATGCAATCAATTTCCAAACATAGTCCAACAGCTGAATATCTGTGGACTATTTTATCACCGCTATATCAGACAATAATGGACTGTTTCAACCTGCAATCTGCATATGTTACCAATTGTTCTTTTTTTCCTTGCAGTCTGACAAGATGTCTAGATATAGAAACACATCTAACATGCTGTCAAACTTCTAATGTTCCTAATAAGTGTTTGTCACTTCAAACAGTATGCTCCAATAATAGCATACTTGGATAGTCTATGCTAAAGATGTCTCGACCCATTGTTGAACACAAGCAGGACATTCTAGGCTATATGAACTTGTGGACTAATGTTGGGGAGGTTATGTTGCTCTGAAAAATGCATCCATAGGTTAGAACTATACAAGTCCTGTGTATCACTGTGTGGGGAGCCCAGGGGAGATGGGGTGGGGAGCCCAGGGAAGGAGAGAGGAAGGTAATTAGCGAGTTAGCGCTTTCCTCTACTGGCCTCCCAAAACATTTTTACATTTACATTTTAGTCATTTAGCAGACGCTCTTAACCAGAGCGACTTACAGGAGCAATTAGGGTTAAGTGCCTTGCTCAAGGGCACATTAACGTCATTTAGCAGACGCTCTTAGCCAGAGCGACTCACAAATTGGTGCGTTCACCCTATAGCCAGTGGGATAACCACTTTACAATTTTGGGGGGGGGGGGGGGGGGGGGGGGTTAGAAGGAATACTTTAGCCTATCCCAGGTATTCCTTAAAGAGGTGGGGTTTCAAATGTCTCCGGAAGGTGGTGAGTGACTCCGCTGTCCTGGCGTCGTGAGGGAGCTTGTTCCACCATTGGGGTGCCAGAGCAGCGAACAGTTTTGACTGGGCTGCTCTACGGTGCGCTACAATTCTGCCATGGCTGTGTGAATGTCACAATGGGCTGAGAGCTGCTTCCCTGCCTGCCTGCCTCTAGCCCCTCTGAGTAAACAACAGCAGCTGGGTACATCTCTCTGAACCACTGCTATGACTACATTATTAAACCACATCTTACCCCCGCCTACCCAACCTGGCACATGCGTTTGCATTATCATGACAAGATTAATCAGGTTGACAAGCGTATAAAACGTTACATTACAGCCCAATTTGACAGCTTCTAAGGTAAGGTCTCTTTCATTGAGTAAACAATAGCACTTCATCTAGCCTGACTGACTTTCATTTCACGCTGAAAACAAAACAGGAAAATGAAGATGGGTACAGGAGCACCTCCACTTAATATTTACTTCATGTGTGTGAATAGTCGCACAGGTCGTCACATATTGACTTACTCTGGCTCTATCACTGCTCCATTCATACTCAGTATCCTGCCTCACCAATTTAACACAAAAATAAACCAAAACCAAGAACAGGGCAACCTGACATATCAGCTCATTTTTCGCTCCAAAGAAGAAGCTTGCTATTATAAATAATTTGGCAAAACACTGAAAAATAGAAGGTGCCCTCAGGGAGGGATCCAGTCATAACCATGGCAACTTCTTCATCACAGCGAACGGTTTGGAAGTTATGAGCCCTGGTCATGTGAATCGCACCAGACCAGGGCCATTACGTAAGGGGTGGAGGGTGGGCGGGGGGCCAGGCGGCCTACAAAGCACTGCAGGCAGGGCCTCGCTAACGCGTACATCTCAGGGCTGTCTGGGGCCTGGCTTCCACGGCGACCAGCTAAGCGAGGCCTTTGTTTGAAGGATTAAGCGCTACTTTTTTCGCCCGGCACGTGGCAACAAGTGAGCACAGTGCACTCCACCCACCAAGGTATGTTGGTCAGCCGAGCAAGATGGGCTGTGTGTCTGTCCACCTGGTACAGGAGTCAAGTAGTCCTCTGTATGCAACACCACACCACATTTTCCTGGTGCCACAGAAAGAAGTAGAACCCAGAGAGGGAAAGCTCTGACTAACATGAAAAAGCTACTCTGTGCAGTAATCTTTGTGTCAGCTAAGCCATGTGTGAGAGTAATCTTTCCAGCCTGGAGAGAAAGATGAAAAACAAGCCTACCCTTCTAGTTCCCATAATAGAGAGAACTAACTAAAGTATTATCAGTGGGATGACGGTAACATCAATCAAAGTCAAAAACTCAAAGAATCACTCATGTGCGCCAACAAAACAGGCATTTATAAAATCAATGCTGTAACATCAATGAGCATACCAATAAGTAAAAGGACCCTTTACCATTTCTCCTGCTACTCTGTGCTATTTGTAGGCTTACATGGCAAACATAAACAAGACTCCCACCATCAGAATCCTCCTCACATATCCAAATTGCATCCAAACAAGACCCTCTCTATAGTCAAGGACCCCAGTCATTAACTGTCGTCACCCCTACGGTCCGTCAGGCAATACCAAACCACCTGGCAGGAGACTGCTTCTACCCGCATTCCATCCTAAATACACAGCTAAAATGATGAAATACTTTAACGACAACTTGGTAAAATTTGTTGTGGTATTGAGTAGAAAGACCTTTACAATTAAAATTACTGAAAATGTATGAATTCTATGTGTTGTTAGTTGTTTTGGATATTATCTAGACCTAGGTCTATATGATCAGGACTATTGTCAACATAAGATGACTAGAGAACGACCGATAATCGTCTGAGCCGATATATCAGGCTGATATTGGCCTTTTCTAGTCTATCGGCCCTACTCTATCGGCTTGCCGATAGTCCCTCTACATAGCAAAGCTACTGCTATGCCAGCCGCCACTCACCGCCTGAGCCACGAGCACTGCACAATGCCGA